GCACTTCTCACCTTTTACTGTTACCATTTATATAACAGCTTCATTAAGTTATGCTCTATCTTGGGTGGCTCTTGGACTTTGTATTAGGTGAAAATCAGCAAGAAAACACAAATTAATAACACCTATAAAAATATGGAAAAATTACAAGAATTCAACGCATTTTAGGGTTAATAAAACTGCGATAAGTCTCTCAATAGATTAATTGAATTATAATATTCAGTAAATCAATATATTTTCAATAGATTTATCTCATGTACCAACTCCAGAGTCAAAATTCACGTTCTGATTGAAATTATTCTAAAATATGAGATCTGAGATTTAATTTCAATGACATTATCAAACATCTAATAGGTGAGACTCATTTGCATTTTTTGTCCGACGTAAATTTTAAAAAAAAATATTGAATAAAATGGCATGTAGCTAATTGAAACTTAGTTACCAAACCATTTAAATTCATGCATTCATATACAGGGTGCGAAAATTGTCGTCTAAATTACGCAAAAATGAAAATAACAGCCTCCAGACGTAAATTTTATTTAAAATGGAATCTCCTGCTGGAACTCTTCTGGGCAGTCGTCTTTCTTAATATTTTGAAAGCTGCTTTAATCTTTGCCTTCACTTCATTTTTGGTGTTACAAGGAGTTTTTTTGGCACATGATAATCCAGGGAGACTGGGGAGTTAGGTGGTCAAACGTAAAGGGTGATGTGGTGGCAGGTGACTGGGTTCTCCTGCTTATGTGGCAAAGTGTAGAGTCCTGTTGCCATACATAGGGTCTTCCAGCAGCCATCCTCTTGAGCCAGGGTTAATACTGCCTCCTGATGTAGATCTCCGTGTTGTGCCTGAGGCCCTGACAAACAAATTCGGGAGTGTTTTTTTTTTCATATCAGAACGATCAGAGTGAGTTTTCCGAGCTGCTGACCATTCGTGATCCCTATTAGACTATTCGATTTTTTCCCGAATCCTCTGCACTCTCCTCAGATTGACACCCAAACACTTTGGAATGATCGTATTGGATCCTCCGGCACGAATGCCAAGCAGTACAGCATGCCCTTCCCAAATAATTCGCGAAGTGTATTGTGCCATGGTGCTATTTTTCACACAGAGGGTGCCCAACTGACCCTACTATACTATACAGTCACAAAATCAAAAGCAAACAACGCGCATGTGATAATTTACTCATCACACTAGATATTTATGTGTGTGTGTATGTGTGTGCGTATGTGTGTGTGCGCACGCGTGTGTGTGTGCGCGTGCGCGGTGTGTTTGTAGATAGATGACTCTCTCTATCTCCCTCTCTCTCTATCTGTATATGAAGGACTCTCCCATTGCTTTTCGACGTATGAGTGTCCAAACCCCCAAAAGTCAGACTACCCGCACATATGATATGATTATAGCGGTTAAGGATTGAGCAGAACCGAGCACGCTTTTTGGAAGAGCCAAGTACAGAGAACTGATGAACAGCGTGCCACAAGGTTCCCCAAATAAACCCCCTATGGTTCTGAATTCGGATTTATTTTTCCCCTAGGCCGTTTTCCACACAAGGCTAGTGGATCGAGTCTGTCCTGCTATTTAATAACAGTTAGGCTAAGAAGAGATGGCTTCATACCTTTTCCAAGGCTATTATCACATCCTTGAATGTAATGAACTCGACCGGAATTCGAACTCTGCTCTTCCGATTCCTAAATCCGAGCCGATACCCCATTACTCTGCACTCTGCCTCCACAATATTGCAGATTGAAGTAATTCTGGAAATTATACTCTCTCGGTATTATTTTTCTCGTAGGTTGATGTTTCATTTGTCAATATATATATATATATATATATATATATATATATATATATATATATAAAATATCAATAAAAAAAATATTAAAAACTTTAAATCTTCAGATATTCTTCCGTTTTTTTATTATTATTTCATTTAGATTCCTCGACTAGTTTCGGCAAAAATGGCATTCATTATATATATATATATATATATATATATATATATATATAAAGTGTACATTGAAGCTAATACCAAGCGGTGACAGTCTGGTTCAATGCTTAAACGCAATTGACAGAACATCAATGTACACTTTTATATTTACATACGCTATGTCCTTGATAGTGAGCACTTCAACCCATAAATATTGCATACATTAAAACTACATTTTTCACACATATATATATATATATATATACATATATATATGTGTGTGTGTGTATTTTCTTGCTGTTTTTCTCATTACCTTAGCTTTACTCTCTTTCACTCTCTCTTTCTCTCTCTCTCTCTCTCTCTCTCTCTCTCTCTATCTCTCTCTCTCTCATGATCCAAATGATACTCAGATATTTCCGCGACTAAAAGTTTCATGTGAACTCCTGATTAATTATTCGGCAGTCTGACACTCAAGGGACAAAATAATCAACTCTCCTCCCTCCCCTCCCTCCCTCCTCTCTCTCTATCTATCTATCTATCTATCTATATATATATATATATATATATATTCCTCCGTCAGTATATTCTCAGGGCATATCTTTATGACGTTTATCGCCCTGTCTGTTCGTCGATCTAGGAAGAATTTTATGTTTGAAGAAGAGAGGCCGCCTTTGTTCTTCTAAGCCATACAATATCTTTGTGATCGTGTCAAAATGGCGATGTTCATGGAGAACAGTGACACTTGACAATCAAAAGTGAAGAGGGCACATATCATTAAAGGGTCGCGTGATCTTCATTAAATTCGGCTTCCCACAGCAGATACTAGTATAGAGATTCAGTACTGCCTGGCATCTTCCCGTCCCCTTCATCCTATTTTGTCTCTGACCCCTTGCTTCCGCTAACAGAGATGGAGGAATGCCATTCATTGAAGACAGAAAAGTCCTCTGTTTACTTTCTTCTGTGTGTATGTGTTTTCAAACAATCAAAGATTCATTTCAACTGGGCGTGTCACTTGAAATTACTATACACTAAAAATTCATAGCACTGCTCTTTCAATACACAAACATGATTGTGCATAAGTATGAATTTTTATGCTACCTTAGCGAGGCCTAGTGTGACTCAAGGTCTAATAAAAGGATGTGATAAATGCTTAGCTCCAATATTTCGTGTACAAAAAGCTTTGAAATCAGAGGAAATCATAATAATAAGAGGAAGTCGGGGATGATCAGATTCTAACTTTAGCTCTTCAAAGCTTTAAATTCTCACTTTGATCCCCGCAATGATTTACATCCTCACTTTTGATCCCATCAGTTAGTTAGACACCAATTTTGATTCCTCTGTGCTTTAAATAAACACTTTGATCCCCAGACCGAGTTAGATCCTCACTTTGATGTCATCTGTTAGTTAGATCATAACTTTGATTCCTCAGTGATTTAAGTAGTCATTTTGATCTCCGTAGCGAACTACATCCTCACTTTGATCCCCCGCAGCTGTTACCATGTTTCAACTGCTCTATACTTGTTAAAATTGTCGGTGATTTTCCGCATATTACTTTAGTACGTTCGTTCCACACATTGATCCCTGCAGTCCTCGAATTGTATCAGACCAAACTTAGCATTATGCATCATGCAGTTGTCGTTGGTTCATTGGCTTGAAGACCGGATTAGCGGATTGATTTTGATCTAGTTCTTGACATCTACAGTTCATTATTTTGATATATTTGTTGGCTTGTACAAGACTAAAATAAGCTTATTAAATAACTAGCTAAAAAACCGCACCCCGTGCGACCTTTTAAGCTAGATACTGCAGAAGACTAATTGAAAAAAATAAATAAATAAAACGAAACAGCCCTCTGATCCAGCTGAGAAACCTTCCTCAAATCACTCCATGGAACTTCAAAATCTCATTTTAACTCTGATTCGGGCTATAAGTTCAATTCCGTCCAAAAGCCTAATTTGGTCTGAAATTCCAATTCAGTACGAAAATTGAGTTCTTCAAATTAGAAACTTCGTGGAATTTTAGTTGATTTCTTCAAATCACAAACTGTGCGGAACTTCAAAACGTCGCCTGTTACGGCCCAAGCTATGGACGAATAGCGAACCCCAGTCACGATGAAAGTATAAAAATACATTTTATAGCAAAAATACCAGCAAAATATTATGATATAATAAAATAAACAATATCTCTTTATAGTAAAATTACCAACAATACATTTTAAAGCAGAGTTACCAGCAATACATTTTATAGTAGAATGAATAACAAGACATTTTATCTGTACTTGAAGGCATACAGTTGAATTCAAAATATATTTAGTTGAAGCCATAAAATTGTCTCTAAAATATTTAGATTTCGGCATTGAATAACCCCATAGAGGTTGATATGCCACTAAAAAAATCAACGAACATGAAAGAACTTTTCGCGAAATTAATCCATATAATTTCTTAAAGAAGTTAAACTGTTTTACAAAATATAACTTCAGCAAAACTAGAAAATAAAACACAAATCACCGCCTCTAGTAATTATGTCCATACAAACATGTATATGCACAAAATCTGAGTGTCATCTACCAGGTATTCAATTGTGAAAGCAGAATAACATATGATATATATTTATTATTTCAAAGCTCCCAGAAAAATTAAATTTCGGCATTAAATGACCCATAAGGAGTTGATGTGCCGTTAAACAAACAATTCTGTCTATCCTTTGTAACTAACCAATGTTTGTCCGCTATGTTTTCCAGTACATGTTCTGTCAGCCATTTACACAAGCTCATCAGCTAGGTTACCTGAAGTTTCCCTCCGAATTTCTTTCCACCATTATGTCCTGTGCATTTCATATTCTCCAAGCCGTCTTTCCTCATTATGCGTCCCAGAAATTTCAATATCTGGGGAAAAAAGTTGCAGATTTTATAGGTATATGATTGATTGATGGATTCGTTTTTATGGTTTATCAACCCTTTGCAGCTTATTTAAGGCCAGAAAATATTTCGTAAGAATTTTTTGAGATGGTAATAGTTTTAGTGATACAAATCTTTCTACTTAACCCATAGCTGCGGGAAGACTACCCACATATTCAAGTTCCCAGCACCTGCTATTCCCTAGCGATCACCCATCGAGGTACTGACCAGAATTGATGATGCTTAACTTGGGTGATCGTAGGGGAACCGGTGTTCCAACGTGGCCGAAATATTGCCATATACGTGCAGTTCAATACACTTTGATTTGTTTCTAAAGAAATTTGCCTTTTTTTGTAAAACATTTAATCCAGGAAAGGTGATCCCTCCTGGATATGACGATAAACTACATCCGTGCTAAGGGTAAGACGATAAACTACATCCGTGTTCTGGGTAAGACGATAAACTACATCCCTGTTCTGGGTAAGACGATAAACTACATCCGTGTTCTGGGTAAGACGATAAACTACATCCAACAGCAAGGCCTCTGATCAGGAGGTTTTGAAGAGCGTGGAACCAGCTCTTAATTCTTGATGTTCTCGGGTCCACTCTGATCCGGGTAGTAGCACCTGTTAGGGTCTCAGCTATGGGTAAATAGTTAACCCCCCAAAACTGGGGTCAAAACAATATAAAAGTGTAAAAATAGGTTTTAATACCAGAAGTATTATTTAAACATATTACCAGCAATAAATCTTTGAAGAAAAGTTATTGCCAGCAATACATTTTTGAAAAGAATGAAAATATTACTAGCAATACATTATATATATATATATATATATATATATATATATATATATATATATATATATATATATATATATTACCAACAATAAATATCTTATCGGCATTAAATAACCCACTGAGGTTGATGTGCCGTAAAATAAACAAAAACCAAACCAAGAAAGTTGATAATGTTACTAAGACGCAGTAGTGGATGAGCACTGCTGATATATATATATATATATATATATATATATATATATATATATATATATATATATATATATATATATATATTGTGTGGATTTAGGCAGCATCTTTTCATTCATACACATATCAGACGTTACGAAAAAAAAATTAAATATAAAATAAATAGACAATGAAAACTTATATATATTATATAATATATATATATATATATATATATATATATATATATATATATTGCTTTTTTACTGTCGGGTATAAATAAACAAATGATTGAGTTTGCCGATTCTTGAAAATCCCCCATAAATTGGCCATGCGAAAAAAACGGTTCAAGGACTGCCTTTGAAATTTTTAATATTCATTGCAAAACTCAGTTTCTTGAACTTAAAAGGCATATCTGAGAGAATAAATGAAATTTTAGAAATAAATACAGCCTCACAGCTTGCTTTGCCAGTCGGAATTGTCCCCTTCAAAACTGTTGGAATCGCTTGCATAATTGTAAGTTATGAATGTCAATCGACGTCTCCAGTTGCCTTGATCTATTCACTACTCTTCTCCTCATCCTTTCCTCTATCACTCCTATCTGATCTTGCTCCAAATCTTCTGTAACCCCTTGCGTCCTAGTGGCTTCTCGCCTTGCTTGGGGTGAAACGCTTAAAAAAAGAGTACCATTGCAAAGCTTCGGGGCATCCAAGTTTCTTAGCAGAATCACTGGTGCACTAATCTTGAGGTGCAAATTCTGAGGTGAGATGCCTGCTAGTGTTAGGCTATTCAAAAATTATATCGTCTAATTGAACCGCCGTAATTAAAAAAATAAAATTTAGCAGGGAAGGGTACGTGCCTCATGCCGATTAAGGACGTTTCAATTTTTTAAGAAGGATGTTTACTTCCACAGCTAGATTCTATTTTTATTTTTTACACGAAAGGTATATAGCAAGTATTCCTTCTGTTTACAAAGGGAAGGCTCACGAGATCTGATATACAAGGACTCTAGTACCTTGAGGTGAAATGTGGAGTGGGACCTAGATAAAATTATAAATCGGTCACCACTAAAATTTTCCACGCCTTTCCTTCTATTTATTAAATGTTCAGCAATAGCAGAACCAGAACTGTTAGTCAGTTGGATATTCCTGGAGGACGGATTCAAAAATCCTGGGGGGGTAAATGCTATTTTATATGTTTTTATATATATATATATATATATATATATATATATATATATATATATATATATATGAAAGACTAAATGGAATGTTTTTGAAAACCAAACTTATTGTATCCTATCATCACCGATCGGACCCCGATCTACTACCAGCCACGATGAACGGATGTTCACTCGGGTAAGTCTTCAGCGATTATTGATCTTCTATCCCAACCCAAACCTCAAGGGGAGCCTATGCATACGATCCTTCACTAAAAATGCGGGAAAAGGATGTCTTCCCTGTACGGTTCCAGCAAGTACCTGACACATCGTGCTAAACTCTTCCTATATTTACGCCAGAACAAGGCATAAAATGGAGTACTGCTGTCATATTTGGGTATTAGCTGTCCAGTCCTTACCTTCCACTTTCGATAGAGTAAAAACATGTCTCTGTGTCAATGCTGGGGAGAAATTATTTTCCACCCTCTCTCACAGACGAGATGCAGTTAGTCACTGACTGCTCTGTCTTTACTTCTATGGTAAGTGCCCAGACAAGCTACCTTCTTTAGTTCCACCAGTTCTAAACTTCACGGCTGCTACACACATTGTAGCGAACCAACGTCATTCCCTCCGTATTCTATTGGTAAGAAGTAAGTTCCACTCGAGCAGAAGTCGGTTCTACTCGAGCAGAAGTCGGTTCCACAAATGCAGTGATTCGCGGGATTCTTCCGCGAATCACTGCATTGTGGAACCGACTCCCAAGGGGATGCTTCCCCGATCACTACAATCTTAACCTGTTCAAATCTCGGGTTAGCCGTTATCTTTCCCTCCTAACCGCATATGTGTCTCTTACACTGCAAGCTTATACCTCGAATGGACTCTGGGCCTTGTATAGGATGAACCTCACTGTAAAAAAAAAAAAAAAAACCTTTAAAAATACGGAAGTTCATAATGTGTAATATTTGAATTTGTTAATATTCGAAATCGTATTCATTGGCTCCAGATGTGATTTACAGTTATCAAAATTGAAAATTTAATCTGTCCGTCAGCAAGCTGACTTTATCGAAATTGGGGTTAATGTTGGAATGTTAATCTGATTTCCCGTTGATAAAGCACATGCCGATAAAATGATAGCAAGGAACTGTTTCGTCACAAGACTTCTTTTCATTCTCCCTCGAGTCAAAGAACCAATTATTCTCTTCACATGATTTCTCTCTCTCTCTCTCTCTCTCTCTCTCTCTCTCTTTCTATATGTATTTTGGTTTGTCTTTTTACTTTTCTAACTCTTCGTCTCTCTTTTACTTTCTTTTTTCCCTTTTACCTCTTCGTCTCTCTTTAACTCTCTTTTTATCTTTTACCTCTTCGTCTCTCTTTGACTTTCTTTTTCTCTTTTACCTCTTCGTCTCTCTCTCTTTTTATCTTTTTACCTCTTCGTCTCTCTTTTTCCTTTTTCCTTTTACCTTCGTCTCTCTTTTACTCTCTTTTTCTCTTTTTATTCACTCTCTTTTTCTTTTTTATCTTTTACCTCTTCGTCTCTCTTTTACTTTCTTTTTTCTCTTTTACCTCTTCGTCTCTCTTTGACTCTCTTTTTCTCTTTTTACCTCTTCGTCTCTCTTTTACTTTCTTTTTTCTCTTTTACCTCTTCGTCTCTCTTTTACTCTCTTTTTCTCTTTTACCTCTTCGTCTCTCTTTTTTACCTCTTCGTCTCTCTTTTACTCTCTTTTTCTCTTTTACCTATTCATCTCTATTTTACTCTCTTTTTCTCTTTTTACCTCTTCGTCTCTCTTTTACACTCTTTTTATCTTTTACCTCTTCGTCTCTCTTTTACTTTCTTTTTTCTCTTTTACCTCTTCGTCTCTCTTTGACTCTTTTTCTCTTTTACCTCTTCGTCTCTCTTTTTCGTCTCTCTTTTACCTTTCGTCTCTCTTTTCTCTTTTTCTCTTTTTTCGTCTCTTTGTCTCTTTTTCTTTTTACCTCTTTTCTCTTTTACTTTCTTTTCTCTTTTTCTTCGTCTCTCTTTCTTTTCTCTTTTACCTCTTCTTCATCTCTACGTCTTTGTCTTTCTTTTACTTTCTTTTTCTCTTTTACTTCTTCATCTCTCTCTTACTCTCTTTTTTCATTGAGCTCTTCATCTCTATCATTTACTTGTTGCCTTTCTTTTTTTTTAATCTTTTTCTTTCACTTACACTCACTCTTTGTCTTTCTCTTCTTCTGCGGTAGGAATTGATCTGTCATTCTATGTTCACTCTCCCACTATTCTTGACTCTCTCTCTCTCTATCTTTCACTTTCTCCCTCCCCTCTCTTTTTCTTTTACACTCTTTCTCTCTGTCCATCTATCTCTTTCCTCTCCTCTTTGTGTCTTTTTATAGTTAATCTCTCTATCTCTCTCTTTATCTCTCTCTCTCTCTCTCTCTCTATTTAATTTTCTCTACCTTGTTTTTTTTTCTTTCTCTCCCTTTCACTTTTCTGTCGACTATCTTAAAATTATCTATTTGATGGATTTTTTAGATGATGTCTTAGTTTCCAGGGTTATTCCGCTTTTAAACGACAGGATCCGTTTATGGCCCTATTAGAGGACCTAAGGCGAAAATTGATTAGAGTTCACACCCAGAGAGCCGTCCCTGCAGCACATGGAAAAAATTTTCGTTGCATTTAGAACGATGGAACGTCAGCTAGAATTGCCGATGATCGAGGTGCCTCAAAAGTAGAAAGTGCTTAAAGAACTGACACTTTTTGACGGCTTGTCGGTCTACACATTAATTGTGCCCCGGTATCAAAATTGATTACCATCGTATGCTATCAGGTAAATAAATAAACCTAAAAGATGTCTGTTGTTACGGAACTACACCTTAACAGAATACTTATCACAAGAAAATGGGTATAAAGAATGAGTTTTACCACATATCCCTCATTGTCTTTTTAATCAAATTTACCACACAAAAAAAAATGAGGCGTGACAATTTAAGTACCAGAATGATCCCATGAAAGCAATGTTTGCTTACTCGACCATTAATAGCTGTTTCCAGGGCAAATCGCCGCCCATTGTGAAGGTAGAAATTCGTAAAACAGTTATTGGAAAAATTCTTGGAGCACGTTTACTCGAACACTTCAGGTTTTTGTCATTCCGTAAAAGAAAATGGATCTGCGACGGAGGC